AAAATAGATCTTGGCCCAGAATTTATGATCCTGGCTTATAACATGCCATAATCTCTACTTTTCTGAAAACACAGAAAAATGTGGTGTGGACGTATATATTAATTTATACTTGCGGTGTGGATGTATATATTAATTTATATTTGAGTCTTAACCATTTATACATAGTTACGGCAACAGTAGGCCTGTAGCTATAATTTAAATAAGTAAACATGTAGCAACTTAGATTATTATAGTATATTGAGCAAATAGTGTGAAATTTGATGTAATAAAAAGTCTCCTAAGTACTATACAAGGATTTTATTAGATACTAGATGATCTATCTTAAAATAGTATTTTGACACTGTTTCATGACAGAGCCCTGAAATAAGGTGTGTATGTGTATGTATATATGTAAACATGTATGTGTGTATATATGTAAGTATATATACACACAGTCTGGTATACAAACTCCCATTCAGTATTATGTCAGCTGTCATGTATAGTTTGAATCTACCATTATGTATATTTGTATGTATTTCATTAGATACTTGAATTTATTTTAGTGTCAGTCGTTACACCAAATCCATCCTTCCTAAGTGATCTGCTTCAAGTTAAGCAGTTTTAACTAACATATTACACTTAGGTAGCACTTGGATGGTATTTTTCATTGAAATATAATTCATGTACCATAAAATTCACCCAATTCAGTACTTTTTAGTGCATTCTCAAGACCATGCAACTACTACTATTGCTGAATTCCAGAATATTTTCATCACCCCAAAAAGAAATGCCATACCCCTTTAATAGTCACTCCTGATTTTCTCCTATGTCCACTCCCAATTTTCTCCTCTGTCCACCCTTTGGTACTCACTTATCTATTTATGGCTTTATGGATTTGCCTTATCTAGACATTTCATATAAATGGTATCATATAATAAATATATGGCTTTTTATGTCTGTCTTCTTTCACTTATGATAAGGTTTTCAAGGATCAACATGTTACAGCATGAACCAGTAGTTCCTTCCTTTTCATAGTTGAATAATATTCCACTGCATGGATCTGACACATTTTGTTATCCATTCCTTAGTTGATGGACAGTTGGGTTACCTTTACTTATGGCGATTATGAATAATGCTGCTATGAGCATTCGTGTATATGTTCTTGTGGATGTCTTTATGCTAGTACTGCATTGTCTTGATTATTGTAGCTTTGTAGTAGATTTTAAAATTGAGAAATTTGATTTCTCCAACTTTGTTTTTCATTTTCTTATTTTATTTATTTATTTATTTTAGAGACAGGGTCTCACTCTGTCACCAAGGCTGGAGTGCAGGGGTGCAAGCATCACTCACTACAGCCCTGAACTCCTGGGCTCAAGGGATTCTCCTACCTCAGCCTTCCAAGGAGCTAGGACTACATGCATGCATCACCAAGCCTGGCTTCATTTTTTTGTTCTTCTTTTTGTAGAGACAGGATCTCACTGTGTTGTCTGTCTAGTCTCACACTGCTGGCCACCAACAGTCATCCCTCCTCAGCTTCCCAAAGTGTGGGGCTTACAGGCATGAGACATTGCACTTGGCCCTGTTCATTTTCAAGACATTTTGGCTATTCTGGTTTCCTTTAGATAGTATTTTTGTCTTAGTTTTCTAAAGTAACTTATTGGTTTTAATATTTTCCTAGGAAACGGGACAGACTAAATTAAATGCAATATTTTGTTTAAGTGGATCTGGAAGGAGACCTTTCTGTAGGTGTTATCACTCATCTTTGACTACTTCATTCTCACCACATGGTATAGAGCTCTTTCCAGCTGTAGCTCTTTTAAACTCCTCAGAAAGTCTGTGTTCACTTTACTGTCTCCATTGCTGATTTATAGAGTCAAAAGGAGTATAGTTATTTTGGAGCCACAGTGACACAGAGTTCCCAGGGACTCTTAAGTCAAGATTATGTTTAGCTGGGGCTAGAATGTTTCTGAAACAGAATTGCTTAAATTTAAAAAAGTGAGTATGTTCAAAACACAGAAACCTGAGCTCCTGACCTAGCTTCCTTGATTACTAAGTGGCTCTAGGCAAGTCATTCTTGGTGTCCTCCTCTACAACTATAAAATGAGATTAATAGTTCCCCCTCTGAATATATCACATAGCGATTTTAAAAATGTATGCAGAGGTACTTTATAAAGTATAAACTCTAATGTATTTTCATTACCTATGTAAAGATCCTTTCCTACCAGGAACATCCCTGAGGGCTTTGGTTCCTCAGCTTAAACCATTACCCAGAGGAAAGAATCAACGTTATTATACTTTTGAGTTTTCTGAGAGACTGGCATGTATTCTTTTGCAATTTTGTTAATGTCTTTGCCACTCTTTGAGGTTTTCCATCATTTCTGTGCATCACTGCTCTGTTCTTAAATTAATCCTGTAGCCTCTGCAACAGGAAGAAGAAAGCTGAACAGTCTCTGTTTATTGGATTCTGCCTTCTATGCTAGCAGGGCCTGCTCTCGGCATCTCTGGTAGATAGATCTTTGCCAAGGTGCTCTGAGATGGGATTGGGGTGGTGTGGGTTGTAGGGACATTCTGTAAATAGCCTAAATCAGTAACATGGTGCCACTGGTGTCTGCCTCACCTTACTTGTTGCATATCTTAATTTCTGTGAAACTGTGGCCACTGGCGATTCTTATTTGAGATTTACACTTAACTTTGACCCGGTTCCCTGATCCTTGTATGCTTTGGTCTTCTCATCTATAAAATTATAAAGATTAAATGAATAATGCCTGTTTATAGTAAAGATTGAATAAATGTTAATTAGCATTATTTGTTGTCATTACTGATTTGATGAATAGTGTATTTATTACCCTTACGTTATTAGAGTACAGTTTTATTTGCAATTGAAAACATTAAGATCTTTATAGAGTTCCTTTAGCAAGTAATTAGCAGAATTGGAATGTTTCAGGCATTTTGTTGTAGTCTCAGACCACTAGGCTGCAGCTTTGACCTTAAAGAATAAATATTGTTAAATATAATATTTGCTACATGCTATACTTTAAACTGGACTCTTGGTGGTTGTTGAGACAGTGTCTCACTCTGTCATCCAGGTTTGAGTGCCTTGTAGCCTCAACCATGTGGGCTCAAGTGAACCTTCCACTTCAGCCTCCCGAGTAGCTGGAACTACAGGTGCATGCCAGCATGCCCAGCTAATTTATTTTTTGTAGAGAAGGGCTCCCACTGTGTTTTCCAGGCTGGTCTTGAACTCCTGGGCTTAAGCAGTCCTCCCATCTGGGCGTCCCAAAGTGCTGGGATTATAGATGTGAGCCACCATGCCCAGCCTAAACTGGACTCTTACAGATACTTTAGTAAACATTTATTTGCATTTTGCAAACTACAGTCATTCTTCTTATCCGTTCATTATATTCAAGAAAATATGTCATCCGTTTGTCACTTCTGAATCTGCTAACCTGGCAACACCAATTTAAAACATCAGTTCCATGGGTAGCCTAACTTTATTATCTTGCTGATGTACCAATTACCAGGATTTCATATATTGACTATGAATGAGGAAATTATATATCAGTAAGTGAAGTACAGCTGTACTGCATGTGTACATATACAGATTTTTGTTTGAGCTTTAATCTACTCTAGGAAATTGCAATTTATATGGTTTTTATAAGCTGTTAAAGATACTTGATTTATGAGAGATGCTCAAGTTTGTATCTTATGAGAATTTGTTGTTATTTTTTAGCATGTAACAGTGCATAGATTCTTTCATTGGAATTTATTTTTAGAAGGTTTACTTTGTACACTTCCTTATATATTTTTCAAAATAGTATTCTACATGGGCCAGTTAGATTCTAAAACTATTTTGTAAACTATCTAGTAAATGGAAGTTAGCTAATTTATCCCATGTATATGTTATCAGCCTTAATGTTTTCCTGTTTTAATAACAATATTTAAAAATAATGTTAAGATTTATTGCCATGAAGCTCATCTAAGAGAAATTATTTAATCATTGTCCATATATAGTACAATTGATTCCATGGCAATTTTAAATTATTGTCTATTTTTTAATAAAATGAACTTGTTTTCAAAAAGGACGCGGAAAAGATGTTAATCAAAAGCTTCAAGAACAGAAAAATGCTTTAAAATATAAGGAAACACTTGTATAAATATGTAATAAATAATTACATATGTTCAAAAATTTTTTTCTCGAATGATTCATAAGAAATAGTTACATTTTCTTGGCAGTAGAGACTGGAGTAGAGAAGGAAGCAGGAGACTTTTTCATTTAACCTTTTACATATGTGTGCATGATCTTGTTACACATATTGCTATTTTTTAACTGGCATTGAGATTATGGACTTTTTTCCACCCTATTCATATTTACCTTTTTAAAAGGAAATAATAGCTTGTTAATATAATGTAAAAATGAAAATGGCAGCTGGGTGCGGTAGCTCATGCCTGTAACATAGCGCTTTGGGAGGCTGAGGTGGGAGGATCAGTTGAGGTCAGGAGTTTGAGACCAGCCTGGCCAACATGGTGAAACCCCATCTCTACTAAAAATACAAAAAAAAAATTAGCCAGGTGTGGTGGTACATGCCTGTAATCCCAGGTACTGGGGAGGCTGAGGTAGAATTGCCTGAGTGGTGGAGGTTGCAGTGAGCTGAGCTCATGCCATTGCACTCCAGCCTGTGGGACAGAGCAAGACTCCATATCAAAAAAAAAGAGAGAGAGAGAAAAGAAAATGGCTAGTAATGACAAATGTATCAAGTTTCCTTTCTTTCTTTTTTTTTTTTTTTTTGACCTTTATTCTTTCTTTTTTTTTTAAGGAAAACCTGATCTGAGGAAAAGTTTCTTGTTGACAATGACAGTAAAAAAAAAAAAAAAAATACTAGCTTTGCTTAGGTTAGATAAGTAAAACTAATACAGCGTTCACTTCTACAAACATATTTTTCAAAATAAAACATTTTCTAGTATATTGATGTGATGATTGTATAGCGATTAGTCTTTAACCTTTGATTGTTTCTTTCTTCCAGCAATTTTACCTGCTCAGGAATGGAAACCTCCTCTTCCAGCTTACGATTTTCTAAGTATGATGGATGCTGCAACATCTCAACATGACACTAAGAAAGTTCCCAAGTGTAAGAAAGAAACAGATGTGCAGGAGAATGATAAGGAACAATATGAAGATAAATCGACAGTCAGAAAAGAACCAATTGAAACTCTGAGAATAAAGCATTGGAATAGAAGTAATTGGTTTAAAGAAGCAGAAAAATCATTTAAGTGTGATAAAGAGTTATGATGCTCGAAAGTGAACTAAGAGCTTTGGTTTCCAAAGTCTTTTTTTAGCATGATAGACTTAATGTATTTCCTTAAAGAATAATACTAAATCATTCAAGTTTGAAGACTAGTGTCGTCCGATAGAATTATAATAAAAGTCACAGGTTTTATTTAAAAATTTCTAGTAACTACGTTAAACAAAGTAAAAGTAAGCAGAGCATAATTTTGATGGGGTTTTTTTGTTTGTTGTTTTTGAGACAGGGTTTCACCATATTGGTCACACTGGTCTTGAACTCCCAACCTCCGGTGATCCACCTGCCTCAGCCTCCCAGAGTGCTGGGTTTACAGGCGTGAGCCACTGTGCCCGGCCCTTGATGTTATTTTTCACCCAATAGTGTACTCCAAATAGCTAAATTGATATAAAAATAATGAGGTATTTTACATTCTTTTTTATACCAAGTCTTCAAAATGCAATACATATTTTATACTTACTGCATTTCTTACTTCAGAGTAGCCATATTTCAGGAGTTCATCAGCCACATATGGCCTGTGACTACTGTATTGGACAGTTCAGTACCAGACAAAAACTAGCATAATTAACTTAGTTCTAGCCATGATTTGTATTTGGATTAAAACAGAAATATAACTCTAAATACAGTTAACTCCGCAGTGCATTCATGTAGCTGGCAGTTATATTTGTTTTGTTGTAGTCACGATATTAATATCAGTGTTTGTCAACCTGGGGGCAGTTCGGCTCCCCAGGGGATATTTGGCAATCTTGGGAGACATTTTTGATGTCATGACTAGGGCAGTTATTGGCATTTCGTGAATAGAGGCCGGGGATGCTGCTAAATAACCTACATTTGACAGCCCCCAGCAACAAAGACTTATCCTTCCTAAAATGTTAGTAGTGCCAAGGTCCAGCAACCCTGCGTTAAACTAACCTGTGGCAGACAAGGTTTCCAGAATTTCCTGATCCTGCTCAAGTATTTTGTTTGAAAAATTTTGGCTATTAAAGGTATCTGTTAGATGGTCGTATCCTGATTATTACCTGGATACAATTTTATGTTTTCTAATGAATCAATTTTTATAATATTTTCAGAAAGTAATAGTATAACCCTAAAAGAGGACTCAGAATGATACTTACATTTAAAGGAAGTCTTAAAACCTTCTCTTATTTCTACAAGCTATTTGGCTAAATTTCAGATTGAACAAGAAGTCAGCATTCTACCATCGCCTCAGGCAAAGAGAGGCTCCCTCATTTGAAGCATCTCTGAAATCTACCCTTGCAAGCTTCAGACATATCAGTTGGTCTCCCTGAGCCATATGGCCTCATCTATGTGAGAGGGAAAGATTAGCCCAAGAGTTAATTTTCATTCCAAATCACTTAGTTGTTAGACTGATCTGTTTGTAGCAGTTGTTTGTCTCATTTTTCCTCTGTGCACTTTTTGAGACTTTTGTTAAGAATATTCTATTTGGTGCTCCACTGTATTTTTCCTTCTAATATCTACTTGGTATCTTGTTCTTTAAATTTTCTTCACATATGGTTTCCCTGGTACAACTGAGTATTATTACTGGAATTTAAAGAATCATAAACAGCTAAAATTCAACAAGTGCATATCTTTCCTTATAACATAGACCCTTTGCTACTCTCAGCACCCTCTCCTCAGTTTTTTCCCTGTAGCATGTGATGCCTTATTAATTCAACTCATTTTCATTTGCTTTTATTTCTAATATGGGAAATATGGAGTGAACTCTAAATGCAGTTTGTAGTAATAAAACATCATTAACCTAATCATTAGAAAATGCTAATTAAGTACCACCACACAGAAACATGAAATTGACTAGTCATTGTACCTTTGTCAGCAATTTTGACAGAAATGTTTGTAAATAATTTTAAATAAAATATCTGGGTTTCAGGCTACCTTCACAATCCTTCTGTAGTCTCTGTTGTGCCCTCTCTTGGACCACTCTCTCTCTCTATCAGTTGGGTTTCTTTGCTTACAAGCAACAGAAATTCAACTTTGCTAACTTGAGAAAAATGGGAATATTGGATAATTCATAGAAAAGAAAAACTAGGCTTTGAAAGAACAGCAACTAAGTCTGTTCTATGTAACAGGAACTAACAGGTCAGTGAAGAATCAGTTCTAACTGATTTACTCTCTTTTGTGACTCAGGGAGTCCTGGGAAAGTTGGTTAGGGGACCACTAGACACTTTAATTGGCAGTTCTAACAGTACTTTCAAATGCAGAAGGGGTAAATCTCATAAAGTCTAAATTTTGTTTACCAGAAAAAGAATGAATGCAGAGGAGGAAAAACAATGAAGAAATAGAAAACCCATGAATCCTCAAGACACTGCTTGCTGTTTTTCTACCATCCTTTGTATCATTTTTGGGTCTTTCTGCTACCTCTTATCCATTTTTGAGAGCTCCGAAAGCCCTCTCTTTACTCTGGGTGGTTATAGCTGTCCTCTGTGTTCTCCTGGTCCTCTAATAGAGTTGGTCCTCAGTGCATATTTACATTCTGCATAACATTTCATCTCTCATGAGTCAGATTATTTTACTGTCTCCTGCCTCACCTGTGCTAGAGTGTAAATATCCCTTGGCCCATTGTTTCCAGTCCTTGTGATGAAATATTTCACAAGCTGTTTTTCAGAATTCCTAGAGTTCCTCACTTATGGCTGTGCTTCTTTAAAAACTAATTAAATGTGTAAGGTGAGAACCATAAGAGTTTGCAAACCAGTGTCTATTTCAGTAAAAAAAAATAAATAGATACACCTTGGGATTTTTCCCTTGTGCCTAAGACATAGGAAGCTGCAAGAGAATGTTACTCGTATCCTAACAACAAAAAGTCATAGCTTTTCTTGTATCCATCAGAGAAAGTAGGCAAAAGATCTGAATTTCAAAGGGTGACAACCCCACTTCAAAGAGAAACAGGGTATGTGAACTGTTTTGCCTCCATCAGAGAATAGGAGGCTGCCATTAAAGCAAGTGAGAATAAATTATCAAGAATTTAGTAAGAGTCCTAAGTGTTTACAGTCCTTGCAAGTTAATTTGCCACAGATTCCTGAATCAGAGACAAAGGACTTTATCACTCAAACCAGTAGCATTTATCAGAGTGTCAGCATCCCCACAGTGTTACCAGAACAGGGCCAGGTGATACCTGCACACAGTGTAGATTGCATAACAGAAGAAACCCTGAGTTTAGGGAGCCCAAATATGTTATAATGCCTGTCCTTTGCTCTTAATAGTAGGCGATACTAACTAGAGAGACAGTATCTCTTATCAGTCTTTCCAGGCTGTTATTTATATAAATATCCTTGAATAGGTAGTTCAGAAGAAAGGCAGGTGGTACCATGCATGCAATCATACAGAAATGTGAGAGACCATGGAGAATTGTCTACTGACAGAAATCACTAAAATGTTAAGGAATTCTTTAAAGGCCAACCATGTGATCAATATCAGTTTAAAATAGGTCCCCTGACATGACAGAGGTTCACATTCACTTTCTACAAGCTTCTGCTGCATGGTAATGAGAAAGACTGGGGCAAGAGACTGGAGAGAAGAGACCTCTCAGTGACACAGGCATGCATGGAATGACAGGCTGACAGGTGTGAAACTCTGCCTGCTTCCTCAGACCTTTCTCTTGTACAAAGCAAAAGCCATAAGCCACTGGAGAAGAGATGACAAACCTTCCTGCCCTAATGGCCTAGGCGGAGATCCACTGCTCTTGAAGGAGATGTAAAAGCAAAAACCTTTTGCCCTTGAGAAAGGCAGAAAATCTTGTGGGCCCAGGATCCTGTGCCAATACCAAGCAGAGATCCACTCTCACTAGAAGTGTGGAAAATCTCTCCTGTTCAAGAATTCCAAAAACTGATAAGCATATAATTCAAATTGTAATAACGCAGTGAAGGAGATGTAAAGGGAAGTGATTAGAGAATAATCATGATCGGAGGACCACCTACTCAAGTGCAATGGCGAGGTAAGTTCTTCCTAATGAGGTGATATTTGAGCTAAGACTTGAAGGATGAGATCGCCACCCTAGATCAGAATAAAGAGCATTCTGGGTAGAGGAACAGCATCTGGAAGACTCAGGAAAGATTTTGGCTTATCTGAAGAATGGAATAGAACCAATATGGCTGGAGTCTAATGGGCAAGGGGGACAGTAAAGAGAGAAGGCTGGTGAGCTAGGAAGAGGTGGGATTATGCAGGGTTTTGGAAGACATGGATGGTAAGGCATTTATTTTAAGTGTACCAAGAAGCAGGGGAGCAATATGATGGGATGCAAAACTTTGGAAGAATATTCTGGTTGCCATAAGGAGTGTCTGTGGAGATGGAGAGATGAGGATGTATTTGAGCTGTATTTTGGAGGTTTGACCTATAGACCTTGCTGATGGATTGCATCTAGGTTTTGAGGGAAAGGGAAGAACTATAAAGGACTCAAGTTTCTGATATTAGTAACTGAAAGAATGTGGTGCTATTTACTAAAATGAGGAATAGGGGAAGCTGGGGTGGTATTGGGGGTGGACAGAATAAAGTTCTATTTTGTCTACATGAGGAGAGAAAAACTCATTTGATTTCAATTTGACAGTTAGATACTTCAGTCTGGAGCTTAGTGGAGAGCTTGTCTTCATTGATTCAACAAACATTGTTTTTTATCTGCCAGGAACTGTTTTTGTCAATGTGAATAAAATAGCCCCTGTCTTCATGGAACTTACATTCTAGTGCAGGTAAGATGGAAAATAAACAAGTAAATACACCATTGATACACAGATGATAAGGGCTATGAAAAGAATAAGAAGGGAGAGAGTGGTATGGGAAATTTTAAAAATAAAGTATGGTTAAGGAAGGCCTCACTGTTGAGGTAAACTTGAGTAAAACCTAAAAAGGAAAAAAGGGAGCAAGGTTTCAGGTTATTTGTGATCAACCCTGTTACTTAATTTAGAATAATAGATAATTTTTAAAAAATTTTATTCAAAGGATTGAGGGGCTGACTTACAAGAGAACAGAAAATTACTGGGCCAAAATCTAAGTAAAAGCAGGAAACAAAAATTAAAGGACGCACTTTTAAGTATTTTTTCCTAAAAGCATTTGTCTGTGTGAGCAAACTTACTCAGCTCTCATCTTATATTTTAGTAATTATTTTGCTCGGTTTTACCAAAAACAAACACAAACAAAAGAACAACAGAAAAATTCTTAAATACATTGATAGGCTAGAGAATTTTAATTTCACTTATCATTTAAATCCAAGTACATTTTATAACTTCTTTATATGTAGTTGTCAACATGTAGGGCAATCTGTCTTTAAGTAGGGATGAATGACTCCAGAAATAATCCTGGAGAGTTTTCCCTTGAAGCCAAGCATGAGGTTGTTTAAATAAACTTCTTGTTTAAAATGAAAAACAAACAAAAAATAATAATAAAAACACAGTCAAGTTTCTTTAGTTGCCAGCTGTCTCCGTTGGCCTGGAGATGATGGAGGGATTTTGTTGTGTAGAAAGTTCTAAATCCTCCCAGGGGCCCATGAAACCCTTGTGCCTCAGGTGAGTAACAGTAGTCTCCCCATGCCCACCTCTGTAAGGCACCTGTGGTGAGATTTCTAAGTCCACCCTGGGGCCTAGAACCAGTCCAGTCTGGCCCAAAAGGTGTGTGGAGGGGGGGTGTGGGTGGGTGCCTGTCTCATACCCAAACAAATGTCCCTAGACCCAAACTTCACCTTTGCCATGGGGACCAAAGTTAAAAGCCCAACCAGCATGGGAAGTTGGAACTCCATAGAGCCTGTGAGGAAAAGGCGAACTTAAAGAAAAAGACAAAAACTTCTCCATCTCTGCATACTCAAATCCTACAAAAGAAGATGTTTTGATATGGAGAAGCAAAAATACACATTCTTTCCAAGTACACACACAACATTTACAAAAAGGAACATACACTGTGCTATAAAGCAAGTATTGCTAATTGTTAAAGGATTAAAATCATGCAAAGCATGTTCTATGAACACAGTGTAATTAATCTATAAATCAATAACAAAATGATGCCTACAGAGGTAGAGATAAGGAGTTGGGTATGTAAGCCTGAGCTTGAGATAAAAATCTAGGCATCCTATAGTTTATGAATGGAAAAATTTGGAATTAAACCTGAGTCTCCTTCACATCCATTTGGTGGGATAATACCTTGTAAAGCCTTTCCAGTCCATAACATTTCCTTGTGTATTGAAATTTTAAAATATATATAAAATACATAAACTAATATTAAAATGGCCTATGACTAGATCATTGAATAATCAGATAATTCAATCATCTCTCCCCCTTATAGTTAATATTCCTAACACTTTATGGTTGTAGGCTATAATTTCGCATTGTCTTAAACCGTTTTCTTTCACTAAGATTTATTAGTGGGAGGCCAGGTGCGGTGGCTCACACCTGTAATCCCAGCACTTTGGGAGGCCGAGGCGGGTGGATCACGAGGTCAAGAGATCGAGACCATCCTGATCAACATGGTGAAAGCCCGTCTTTACTAAAAATACAAAAAGTAGCTGGGCATGGTGGCGCATGCCTGTAATCCCAGCTACTGAGGAGGCTGAGGCAGGAGAATTGCCTGAACCCAGGAGGTGGAGGTTGCGGTGAGCCCAGATTGCGCCATTGCACTCCAGCCTGGGTAACAAGAGGGAAACTCTGTCTCAAAAAAAACAAAACAAAACAAAACAAAAAAACATTTATTAGTGGAAGCCTATCCAAGATTTAGTTTGGATAACCCAGGGTCAAGTCCTTACATAGGTCTCGAGAGCTATGAAAAAACAGATGCAGAATCTGGAGTCTTATGAAATATTCCAGACCGGCTTCTTGACTTATAGTGGACAAAATTGCACGTCACTATTTTAATCAAATAAAGCGCTCATTTCCTCTGACATTAAATGCAGTCTGGATTTTCTGTTTCTCATGTGGATATTTTATATAATTATGAAGGCTGCTTTTGAAGAATTAATTTTCCTCACATTTAAATTTGTTTCCTTGTTAGAGATACAACCTCATCAGCTACCCAGTTCTTTGTGCCATGAAACTCCTTCCGAATGTCTGGTTTATTGTACTGAGAGTGACTATTACATCTGAATCACTTCTCCAAAGTTACCAGGATAAAACTCTAAGGTCACACCAGACCCAGATGGTCTTGACAAATGTGAACAGTAAGTAAATCTCTATTTAGACATTATAAGAAGGTAGTGTTATTCCTGTTTCTAAAGATACTTAAAGTCTGAGGGAAAAAGCTATTGGAAAACAGTTTTCTTAAAAAGAGGCTTAACAAAAGTAGCATTCAAACAAACTAATGTCTGGTAAGCAGAATTGAGAATACCTGTATACCCAGAAACATCTGGGAGATCTAACCAGCATATCACATTGGTGAGAGAATGGGCTTTGGATTTGGACTGAAGAATCTTTGGGCCTGACTCTCCCAATTTTTAGCTGTGTGATTGTAAAGTTACTTAAAATTTTACATCTTAGTCTCCTCAGTGGTGAAAATATTGCTTACCACATGGTATTGAAGGTTAAATGGGAGTATGCATAGTAAGCATTGGATATATGTCATCTTAAAGATTGGTTTGTTTACTAGAAATTTTGTCCTATTAACAAAATAATATTTTCTCATAATAAAATTCAAACAATATAGAAATAAACAAAGCAATACCTGGCCCACGTCCCTCCAACTCCAACTATGGAGACAAATGGTAACTACTAATAACAATGGCTTCCATTTGACCTTCTAAATATTTCACTTCTTATTTTTAGGGTTCAAAGATACTTAGGTTAGTCAATTGTCCCTTTCAGCCTTTTCAACTAAGATCAAGTAAAGATACCATTAGAATATATTTTTAAATTTTACTTATTTATTTCCATATCTAGTATTAACATTTTTTTCTTTTACTTTGTGGTATTAAATATTTACTTTGTGGTATTAAATATTTCTTTTACTTTGTGGTATTAAATATTTCATCCATATTTGGTGTTTACACTGAAATCAAAAGGGGGAAGTTGGAGAAAAATCTATCCTATTTAATTGTTAATGTAGTCAATAGTTGCTTTTTTGACTGGAGTTTTTGTTCTTCAAATCTGAACTTGCAAATTAACATAATTATACCTAGAGTGTCCTTTGTTTCGTTGAACACAACATCACCTTGGCGTCCTGGAGTGCAGTACTCGTCAGCACCATTCTGTAGTGAGTAACAACCCATCACATTTCCTGCTAAGGGATACCCACAGTCCAATGTGTCTAAATATCATTTGTGGTATCTAGTGTCTGATACATATGACTGCAGGTACGAAAATTGTGTCAGTTCAGAATCCTTTAATTGCATATAACAGATAATATAACAGTAGCTTAACATATAGGGTTTTATTTTACTTAAGTGAAATATTCTACTTTATTTACATAAGAAGTCACCAGATAAAGCAGCCTCATGGTGGTAGCACTGTCCTAGGTTCTGTCTTTTTGCTTCGCTATCCATAATGTAATGGCTTGTTTCCTCTCAACTGCAAGGTACTTGTTGAAGCTCAAGCATCTAACATGTATTTAAGGCAGGAAGAAGGAGATAGGTGGGTGCATGATACCTCCATTTTATAAGAAGAACAAAGGCTTGATCTAAAGTCACCTGGGAGATTTTGGTTGTGTATCACACTTGGGCCAGAGCTGGGCCATATAGCTACTCCCACCTGCAAAAGAGCTGGGAACTAAGTCCTATATTCGGTTTTCCAACCTCTATACAGTACTGGAAAACAGCATTGGAAAATGCTGTAACAAATCCACAGCCTCTGACACAAGAGGGAAAATGGAAGATGAGGGGATGGGCCATGACTATTGTGCCTTGTTCTTGGTGCTGATTTGAAGATATGCACCAGGAATAGCAGTAAGGATGATTTAGAAGCTCTCCATTGAGAAGCTCAATGCCAAAAGGAGGCCAAATGTACAGCTGTTAGTCACCAGCAACTTTGGTTCACATATAGCCACTTGCCCAGGGTGCAAATGTGCCCTGAATCTGGGTTGAAGCAGTTCCAGCATCTGCCATCTCTTCACCCAGGTTTGCTATTGCTCTTCTCTATCAGCTCAGTGCTGGGTCCATTTAACAATTCTAGTACCTTTCTATCCTCAAGGTTTATTTTAGGGAACCCCTTGTCCTTCCCTGCCCCTGAGGATTGTTCAGGGACACTCTGGCCCACTGAGAAGTTGTCCCAAAGCCCAGGGATCCTTGTCTAAATCACCTCATTGTGTCTTGGAATTGTGAATACCAAACGGTATTAGAAAAGGGTGTATGCCCTTTTCTATAAGCAGAGGATCTTGGCTTACATGTGCTTAACATATAAGAACAATTCAAATGACTCTTCAAAGAACAAGGATGATCACCCAAAGTGATTCCCTGTATTGCCTGCTTGCTTACCAGAGAAGCTGAGTTCAGTTGTTCCCACTTAAAAGGAAAAAAATCTGGCTACACAAAAAATTAGAAAATATGCAGTTATTGCAGTATTGGCAAGTGGCATAATTGATTGAGATTTCATGCCACACATCTTTAGATCACATTATTCATTCATTTACATTCATTTTTTCAGCCAATAAGTATCTGTGATGCCTACTAAGTGCCAGCGCCTGAACTAATTACTGTGAACATAAAGTCAGATAAGGAATGGACCATTACCTGACGGACCTTAGCATCTGGTGTGTGGGAGAGACATGAAAATCGCTTTCACCTGTTGTTATAAGGACTAGAGCAAAGGGTGGCCCAGGATTGTGGGAAATCCTGGAGGAGGAGCAGCTAAATTGGGCTGGGGGCTAGAAAATCTTCCAGGGGAGAGGATGCTTAAGCTGAATTTTGGAATATGAGTAGAATTTACAAGAGGAATTTTCAGGGAGAGGAAAGAGCCTGGGCGATGACATGAAGACATCAAACAGCCTGGTGCATGCAGAAACAAGAGCAGTAGTTCCATATGGAGTGAAGAGTGTTTGAAGAAAAGACATCCAGAATGCCAGAGAGGAACAGGAGCCAGATACTGCAAAGTGTTATTGAACTAATGAGCTTGAACTCTGGATTGTATGTTATGAATTAGGGTTACAAGCTTATTCAGTTATTCCATACTTATTCCCAAGAGTAAAAAAGTAGACTTCAAGTGTTTCCATTTTGATAGAAGAGGAAAATTAAATATCTGTGATAGATTAGCATAAACACATGGTCTCCCTAAAATGATCATTATAATCAATTTTGAGTAAGAGTCCTTTTCTACCAGCCCCTCTGCTTGCATTAACATAAGCCCCATCTAGGGGCTTAAAAATTGTAGGTGAATGTTTTATCCTGGAAATTACAATGAATCAGATACTCTCTAGGGCCAAAGTCATTTCCTGAAATAATTTTTCCAGACTATTAGAGTACCATTTATTTCCCTGCAATATAAATTGCACAAAATGGGAACTGAGTTAGTAAACCTCCCTTAGCATCTCAATTATTATGGTTCCAGGAAACAACTTAGGTATGGGAAGGAGACAGACCAATGCCAATATTTGCACATCCATTTCTTTTCTTTAGTTTGGCTTCAAAGTCTTCCAGTGTTTCTCTGATTTCCTAGAAGACTGGGACTTTGAGAAACAAATTCCTACAATAAAGTCTTAATGTAATTCAAGAAGTCAGAAAGAGTGAAATTATGTAGATGTTTGTTATTCTAAAGTGTCATGAAAACATTTTGTCTTTCAGTTTTAGAACTCCTTTATATGTTTTTTGAATTGTGTTCTGGTATACTCAGATTTTATACTCGGAGCATTTCAGAAGATAGTCAGTACTGATAGGTTTACATCACATCCTAAATGTGATGGTTGCTGCAGAAATGATTGAAAGTTTATTTTACTCTAAACTTTACAAAAATATTGATTCATACTACCTTGTATTATATTCAGTTTTCCCATTTTTAAGGCCCTTTCCTATATATTGTTTAGTTTTCACAACATCACTATAAAATAGACTCAATATTTTACAAGCAAGGAGCAAAACCAAGAGATTATGGCACATAGGGATGGGCACCGTGGCTCACACCTATAATCCCAGCACTTTGGGAGGCCAGGGAGGGTGGATCTCTTGAGGTCAGAAGTTCAAGACCAGCCTGGCCAACATGGAGAAACCCTGTCTCTACTAAAAAATACAAAAATTAGCTAGGCATGATAGCACAGGCCTGTAATCCCAGCTACTAAAGAACCTGAGGCAGGAGAATCTCTTGAACTTGGGAGGTGGAGGTTGCAGTTAGCTGAGGTCATGCCACTGCACTCCAGCCTACACAACAGAGCCTGATTCCATCTCAAAACAAAACAAAATAACAACAATAAAAAAAAAAGAATAAAAAGTTACAGCCCATAGATCTCAAACTAGAGTCTTCATTTACATCATCTAGCAGAGCTTTTCATAAAATAGACCCTTGTGTGCTTCACTCTCCTCCCCTCCGTTATCCTCTCCAAGACTCTGCTTTAACAGTTAAAAAGCTGCCCAGATGATGCTGATAGTGAACCTGCTTCAGAACCCCTGGTTAAGGGGATTTTTCTACAGCTGTTAAGGAGTAGACCAGAACTTGAACCAGGGATGTGGACTACAAGTCAAGGCTGTTTCCCATAGACTACAAGTTAGGTAGGAACAGTTGATGGGAGGTGAGAGGTAGGGGTAGAAGGATGGATGTTGAGATATGAATTCATGTTAAATCTTACAGCAATTTTCCATTTAAAGCAAAATTTTTAAAGTGAAGATGGAGTGACAGTCAATGATCAGAAAATTTCAGATTGATAACATTTTATGGGATAATGTTATTAGCATGGATGTTCATGATGTGAGTGTCAGGTTTTTGTTCTAGGCATGAAAAGGAGGAAATGCAGGAGAACAAGACAGAGGAAATGGCAGATTCATCTTTTCTATCTTTTAAGGAGACATAATGAAAAAGAATCCATTGATAAGCTGTAGATTTGAAGACAAATCATTGAAAAAATAATTGCCATGAAACTGTAGTAAATTTCCAGATGTGTGGGGAAGAGACACTCCATGTTTTAGAAGATGAGTTACACTCAAGCCCCAAGAAGGGAGAGCTGAGTGGTAAATATTTCCATTTTTATATTACAGATGATGAAACTAAG